TGGGTAATGGCCCATGCTGCTTTGGCCCTTTGTTGTGTATTAATATGGAGCTGTGAAATGTAACGATGGCATTATTATTTATTGGTTGCGGATCACTTCACACAATAAAAATTAGTGCCTGGAGCAAACTGCGGAGTGTCCCTAAGACGGATACAAAAACGCAGGGGGGGAGTCTAAAGTGGGAAGAACTTAACATACATCTGGTGGCGGCTGTGTAATTATGAACGAAGTTGCAAGCTCCTTTCTGATTCTGCCCCATGTTCTCGGTAGTGGGGGTGTGAGTCTGTTATGCTAGTCTCTCCCTAAATAGCTGCTGGGGTCTCTTGGGTCTGTTTAGAAAGCTGTTTGCCCCTTTTTTTACCTCTTTTTTCTTGATGGGTATTTTAAGGGGGTCCACACAATGGTTGTATCTCCTCATTCTCATTCATATCCCCTACTGTAGTAAGTAGATGGGCTAAGGGCTTTCCATCCAAATGCTTACTGTCCCTGGGTTTTAAGGCGACACCGTCCAAGATGTTCTCAAGTGACTAGTGAGTTGAATACACATTGCGTGTTGTGCGCCGGGTGCTCATGCAACACTTTTCATCAGTCAATCTGAAAGAACTTTGCTGATTCTTCAGCGATAGCACGTGAAGGCTTCTTTCTGGACAGTATTGATCCATGGTTTACATCCATCCAGCTTCCTGCGTGGCTGACTGTTGCCTCAGTATCTGGGTGTCTGGCTTGCTGCATTGGTGGGGAGAGCCGGCAGTGGCCCCAGAGTTTGACCTCTTTCTTTCTACCCGCAGCATTGGTCGTCGTCCCACAACACTGGTTTGCTTGCTCATACAAGGAGTGTTTGGCATTGGAACAGCCTTCGTGCCAAATTTCTATGTCTATGTGGCCTTGAGATGGGCTATAGGCGCTGCTCTGTCAGGAGTCGCCATCGGCACTCTCGCCTTAGGTAAGATCCCTTCACTCTTAGGAGGTTTAGCTCCCCGCAATGCATGGCCTTATGGAAAGCAATGGAAGAGGCCCCATGGATAAAAATTCAATGCCGTTATTTCCTATCAAGTGAATGTCTCAGAGTAAAATGGTCTTTATGTTCCTTTTCCCTGGAAAAGCCCTGTGATTTTTCATCTGTGTGGTGTCCCTTACTGGTGGCCCACAAAGGCTATTTAACCAAGGCTTGTGTTGAGAGGGAAAAGTAGGGGATTATTACATCCACTTTACAGATGAGTGAGTTGAGGCTGACATATTCAAAGACAAAGAGGGATCTTTGGTACGCTACAAGAGTGTAATGGGACTGGATTTTCTAGGAAGCGCTGATCACTCATCCAATGAAAATCAGACCCTTTCAAGGTACCTCCAGCTGAGCATCCAAATGCCCCAGACCACAGGCTCATTTTGAAAGCCTCAGACAGTGTTACTTGGCTTGTCCAGTTGATGCAACAAAACTGATTAGAGGACTGGGAAGCATCACTTTTGAGGAAAGGCCAAAAGACCTAGGGTTATTTAGTCTGGAAAAAGAGAAGACTGAGGGTGGATTTGATAAGTCTTCAAATACTTTTATATAGATGATATAAAGATTATAAAGATTATAGAGAGGATGGAGAAGGGCTTTTCTTTGAGGCCATAAAGGACAGGACTAGAAACAATGGCCCCAAGCTGCAGCAGGGGAAACTTAGGCTGGTGATTAGGAGGGACTCTCTGAGTATGAGGGTGGTCAGGCACTGGAACAGACTACTTAGAGAAGGTCTGAAATCTCCATTCCTGGACATTTTTAAGCAGGTTGAACCGACACTTGGCTGGTTTAGTCAGGGATGATCCTGCCTTGAGCCAGGGGCTGGACTAGATGGCCTTGTGACGTCTCTTCCAGCCCTACTTTCCTGTGGTCCTATGACACGACAGCTTGAACCCAAGATTCCTGACTGCTAATTCTGTTTTCTCCTGCAAGACCACTGTCCTCACAAAAAGCTGACCTCACTCAGAGTAGCAGCGAAGTCTTTTCAACAGTCCTGACTTAATCTGTATTCAAATTTCTAGCCACTGAATGGGTTGGCATCTCCTACCGGCCGCATGCGGTGATAATTTCCCACTGCTGGTTTGCCTTTGGACAGATGACTTTGGCTGGCTTGGCTTATGGCATTCGCAACTGGAGGATGCTGCAGATTGCTGGGTCTGCTCCCGTGTTTGCTCTTTTCTTCTACATATGGTAAGTGTGTATCTGGCAGAGTGCTCCTTCTGGGCACAGCAGTGCTGTGTGTGGGAAGGGGCTATATGTGTGCTCCAGAGTGGAGTCATCCCCTTGTGAAAGAATTGAGTTTCCCAGGAAAGACCTGACAGTGTTAAAGCTTCTGCATAGTTGAGGGAAGCTTCTGGGTGCTCAAGATCCTCAATATCTGGAAAGGCTTTTATTTGGGTGCTTAACTGTAGATGTTGGAGCCTAAATTTTGCCTCTTGTTACCATATGAACACTTCTCTTGAACCAGAGCAACCCACAATACCCACCAAGCTAAGCATATTTCCATTTTCGCACGCTTGACATCAGAGCTCCTATAGTAGCATGGAAGACATCAAATTGATGAAGTCAAGCGTGTTACAAGAGGGTTGATAACCAAGAACCCATGTGGGTTGAGACCAGGCTCCCTGGTTAGACCACATCTCCCCTGACCCCTCATGGCTCCATTCACACATACATGCCATCAGAGGTCCTGTAGTAGCATGGAAGATATCAAATAGATGAAGTCGAGTGTGTAATAAGAAGGCTGATAACCAAGATCTCATATGCCTCCTAGGGTCTTTCCTGAATCTGCTCGATGGCTCATGGCAAAAGGGAGGATAAAGGAAGCAAAAAAACTGTTTCAAAAGGCGGCAGTTATGAATAAACGTACCATCCCACCAGAACTGCTTGATGCGGTAATGGGCACTAAGGTGTTAATCATTCCTGAGTCAGAGTCCTGAGCCCCACATTGTGCACCATTTTTTGGCTCTGGATTTAGGACCCAGATGCCTTGTTCCAGGCGGGGACCCACTCTTAGATTGACCACGACCTTTCCATTTGATAATAGGCAAATTTATCGATACACAGTGATAACGATTGCTGAGGCCGCCCCCCTCCCTCCCAGTGGGTTGGATGAGATGGGTTGGTGGCATGCCCTCTGTCCATGGGCACTTGGGGACTGCTCCTGGGGGACTCTCTTGGGGAGGAGGGACCCAGGCAGGACCCCTTTGTTACTCTCAAGTCTTTGCTTTGTATTCTCCTTCCCTCCTGATGACTCCCTATCCATGGCTATCACTGATTGGTCTCTCTGTGTTGTCATCACACTGTCCACATCCTGTGTTGTCAACACATTCCAGGCCCATCACGTGCACACCCTTCCCAAAACAGGAATCGTAGGCCCCCCTTTTTGGCCTTGCGAGCTGGTGCCACCTCATCTCATGTTATGGAACAGTGTGGTACATGCCCCCAGTTTCCCAGACTGTGTGTATATCCATTGGCCTTGCTGTATTAGACAGCCTGTTTCAAAGGCTGTGTGAAACTGTGTGCGTGTGACCCAGGCTTTTAAAAATCAGTTAACCCCTGCTGCTCATCCTGAACCATTCTAGTGCATCTACATGTACTTATACCTATAAGCCAATTCCCAAAAAGCAAACCTTTAAATACTATTCTTAAGCTATCAGATATCAGCCTTTAATAATGTTTAAAACATGCTTTGTGCTGCACACGAGCTGTGCTGCATTATGGATCATCTAATTCAAGGCCTTATTCATTGCTATGGACATCACAAAACATTTTCCTTGGTAGAAAGCTCTGAAA